ATAAATTTTATAAAACATGATCTCTGGTAGAAAGGATACCTCATGTATCCCACAAACTCTGGAGGGAGACTTGTGCTGAATCCAGCTCACACAGGCTTGCAAGGAATGTTAGTATCTAGATATTCTCGATTTTATTTTCAGTATGTCATACAGCACCTTAAAATCAGCATTTATACCAGGGACATTGGCAAACACTGAAAATGAGGACTTTTTTATACAAACATTGTTTATCAGCACACGGTTGACTGGTGGTCTATCTTATGTTTTGCTTTATGAGAAGCTATAGATCAATAAAACATGTTGTCCCTCACTCAAGTAGCTTACTGTGTATGAAGTAGTGACATAGACAAAAAAATTATAAAATATTAAGTTTTATGGTAGTTGATAATACATTATAATACCCCTTCTTTGTGTTATCTGAGTTGAAGGTGTTTTCATTGGTAAATGGATGAAGGTATTTTGGAAACAATTCTGTGGAAGGAAGGAAGTAGGATTTTGTCACAATTTTACTTTTCATGTGAAAAATACTGTATTGAGCTTTAAATTCAATGGGCCCTACTGGACATAGCACTGAAGTATATAAAAACACAAAAACTCTACTTGTTTTTCTATCTGTTTTCTCTGTAATCAGATGCTTTCCAGTAAATTTAGAGCAAAAGATTTGCACTGGTGATTCAGTTTGCTTGAGAAGTGCTATTTTATAACAGAATTGATTTGTAGATTTGGTTTAGAAATCTTGTTTACTTCCTGATACATATGTTTAAGAGACTTGTTCCAGCAATTCAAGGCCTAGCAGTTATGTTTTTCTATATACTGTGTATGTCCAAATTTTTCACATATATAAGCATCTTGTGCTCCCTGTCTTTACTTTCTCTTCAAATGATCCTCCCAATATAATATAAGCACATCAATATATGATTAAAAAATAAATAAATCTAATGTTTCCGCCAGAAGGATGGATTTAATTGAAGTTCTAAGCATTAAAGCAAAATGCTCAGCATATCTACTTCATTATCCAGGTTTCCAAAATCATCACCATTTCTCAGATTCAACAGGTAAATTCAAGTTGAATCATACTACTTCCTGTTCTGTAATACCTTTGCTTTTCACCTATATTGTATTCATAATTCCACTGCTTTTATGAACCACATTTAACCAATAGAACGATGGCAGTATAACATGAGCATACAAGGCTGGATAGATATTATATAAGACCAGAAGGTCCACCCAAGGATACACTCCATGAAAGATCCCAGAGGATTCCTTCAAAACACACCATGGTTATTATGAATGAGCTGTGAAAATGAATCCAGCATCATAGCAAGTTAAGATGTGGCTCTCAGCTGACCAGGGATGACAATAGATGAGGTCAAAAATCAGTATCACTGTATCCATACATAAGGTGAAACCATGGCACAGTAAGAGCCAGATAGCAGTGGTTAGTCACCAAGAACAGGGAGGCTGCAATTATAAGAACAAAAAGGGTCTTAAGGGCAGGCAAGCTTAATATTCAAGTACTCTTGGGGATGATCAATTGAGTATGATATTTTTGTGCCCTCCAAAAATGGGCTGGCTTAGTTTTGCTGTCAGTTTCAGTCATACCCTGAGCAGATGGAATGTGATAATGAATTTAAGGTCTCAGAGCCTAGAAGTATTATTCCCCATGATTCCAAATGTGAAAGGCACATTGTAGTATAAAAGGAAAATAAACAGAGGAGCCAGAAAACTGAAACTTGAGTTAGAGAAGTTAGAGCAACTTTGGGCTCAGTAGAAATTTAACAGTCTGCCATTTTCCACCCTTCATGCATCACCCTTGAAATTTCAAATGCTCAGAAATTGGTAAATCATGGATAAGGATATATGAAAAATTAAGTTATTCATATGAATTTAGAAGATTTGATTAATGATAAATATTTTTAAGAAAATAGTTATGATATTGGGACTAAATGATTGACTAAAGAAAAGAATATCTTCATTTTTAACACCTCTTTGAATGCACTCTGTTGGATAAAGAGTGAGTAACAGAGTGTTGTTGTATAGCTGTTAGCTACATTTCCCACTTCTGATAACAGCCCCAAATATAGAGGCAGACCCTATATAAAGTTCAGAACACTTGAACATGATTGATCAATACAAAGACTCCGATATCTGACATGAGCAAGCAAATCAGAGCTATTTCATGTGACATGTGACAATATACTTTTCACAGTATATTTCAAAACATTTTCTGAGTTATAAAAAAACTACATATGTATTAATTAAATGCTATTCTCATTTCAATAACTTAGGCTTTTAGCCAAAAAAATGTAATAAGAGAGAAAAGAGATATACTACATAATGATCAAGAGGTCAATCTATGAAGAAGATATATTTGTAGTCAATATATACGTTGCCAAAATAGTCACAACTAAAAATGTCAAACAATTATTAACAAACCTAAAAGAATATATTTACAGCAATGCAATAATAATAAGGGGTCTCAACATGCCACTAACAAAAATAACAGACCATCCAATCAAAAAATTGAATAAGGATATAATGAACTTAATAAATAAAAAAATTGGGCCTCCCCAGTGGCACAAGGGGTTAAGATGCAACCTATGAATCTATCCGCAGCCACTGCAGCATGAGTTTGATCCCCGGCCAGCCAGGGAGATACCCACATGGCACAGCAGACCTCTCCTGACTCACCCACTGCTCCCCTCAGCAGTGTATTTCAGTCAATCTGCCTGTTCTATTCCCCGCTCTGTCTCTGGTGAATCCTCTCACCCTCCTGAACATCTGGACTGTACGCGGGTGCTTGAATGCATGAATAAATAATAAATCTTTAACAAAAAGAAAGAAAGAAAAACAAACATAAATAAAACCATTTTAGAATAGGACCAGCATTTGTTACCTTAGAAATCCTGCTTTAATGTCTCACATGTACTGAACCAAAAGACCTTTGGATTGGGCCAAACAGGGATTGTGTCATGAGCTTTGTTTGAGAAACCAGCAGAATAGACATCCCAATCAGAGACTGGTGGCTGTGGCCATTTTCCAGAGGATAGTAGAATCAGTAGCCAGTTATACATAGCCAAAAAGAATTTGAACTAATCAACACTAGCTCTTTTCTTTAACCACCTACCTCATCTTCCTCTTTTCTTCCCATAAAAATTCCTAACTTTTATCCTTTCTCAGGGTGCATTTTAAGATTCTACCTGAAATTATACACCTTGATTTGCAATTTTGTAATTCCAAATAAAGATTTGATTACCTCTCATTTTAGCCTTTTATTATTAAGTTAATACTTCATGGGATTTCACATTGTGGTTCATAGGGAAAGGAGGAAAGTGTGGTTCATTGATATTAAAAATTCTGACTTTTATTATGTTAAGTCATGAAACTGTGACATATAATAGATAAATATTAGCAAGGGGGGGACTCATGGCCCCAGATATGCCTTCCCTCAAATCCATTTCTTTCCTTTATTCTAGTCTATTCAATATCAACAGTTCCCATGGAACATACAAGAAATTCCTCTCAAGGTCATATCAATCTTGATTATGTTGCATGTACATTACCTGCTGTGCTGGCTTGAAACTAGAATCTCCCAGCATCAAAACCACCATTCTGTATATTCTGCTGTTGATACATGTGCAGAGAATCATGTACCACCATCACTTGCCAGCTGTTTCCCTACTATATTTTGTTAATTGGAAGATATTAGAAGGATTCTGGAGAAACTACTGGAAGGAAAAATATCTCATGTTTGCTTGTTATTCCTTCCGATGCCACACAATATTTCCAGTGGCATTGGTTCAGCCTCTAATTTTTTCCCACACTTTCAGCAAAATCTCATCATGCTCTCTCAGAAGAAACAGGACCAGACAAATGTGGGTATCTTTCCAGAGGTCTGAGCCCCATTCCCTGAAGGGTCTTCCTCGGGGCCCCTGAGGAATACGATCCAGCTACAAAGCCCCCCAGAGGGGCAACGCTATCTCATTATAGGTATGAGTGTCTGGGGAGAGCCTCCACCAAGTTTCTAGGCTTCCATAACCCCCAAATCTTCTCTTTGCTACCATAGACATACATGTGGAAGTGACATCCTATAGTTATTATGTCTATCACTTCTGTGCTCCCTTTATGCGTTTTCAGCCCTCCAATGACAGCTTATCCAGGTCTTCACATTAAACACACCCTGTGTTAACCCATGGTATGATTTCTGTTTTCCTGTTTAGAATTGATCTACAATATTCACCTCAAGTGCCCTCATCTACTGGGGATGCAATGCTGAGGACAGATTTAGCATAGTAAATCCAACCAGATTAAAATATATCCATAATTGGTCCCTCATAATCTTGAGAGTTCAAAGAATATTAATTTATTTTTAGTAGATATTTGCCAAAACCAAGAAAAGTTGTATTAAACATTAAGTATGACATTAGTATTTCAAAGAAATGGCACAGATTAAAGTTAAATCAAGGAGGGTTTTGTTGTTTTGGTTTTTTTCCCCACAAAATACTTGTGCCAAAAAAGCTTCCTGAAAAAAGTGGGAGAAAATAGGAAGACTTGATTTAAAAAAAGATTGGGTTAATGCAAAGTGGTAAAACAATATATTGATGATGATGCAGCTATTACATTAAAGATCAAATGCAAAGAAGAAAAGTAAGAATATTTGGAGCAATCCCTTTCCTATCATCAATGTCAGTTACATGTGCCAGATACAGATGATAAAATTCAGTAATTTTCAATTAATATATTTTATTACAATCTTCCCCTTTAAAAATACAATAAATAATAAATCCCCCTTTCAAACATAAACCAAACCATTGGTTTCTAGGTCATTGAAATGCCTTTATCTTAAATGTAGAAATGTTAATGTTATTGTGGTTATTTGAGGAATATAGTGATAGAGAAATCTCTACAATAACCAGTACTAGAAAAAATCCAATTTCTAGTCCAAAACACAATCCAACTGAAATCAAGAAAAATTTCATATCTTTCAAACTAAAAGTCATCTACTTCTTTGTTGCACCAAACTGGAGAACTTTTAGAACAGCCCTGCGTATCTGTTTGGTCTTCACACTGTAGATTATGGGGTTCATCACTGGGGGGATTAGCAGGTAGGCATTGGCAATCAGGGTATGGACATAGGGTGGGGCCCCTTTTCCAAATCTGTGAACAAAGGACAGACTGATCAATGGAATATAGAAAATAGCAACAGCCCCAATGTGGGAGATGCACGTGCTGAAGGCTTTCTTCCTCTCCACTGGGGATGCAATGTGGAGGACAGTTTTGATGATCAAAACATAAGAAAGGAAAATGAAGATCCAGTCCACCCCAGCAGTGCTGATCAGGGCAGTCAGCCCAAATATGCTGTTGATCCGGGTGTCTGTGCAAGAGAGCTTCATCACATCAGGGTGAAAACAGTAGGAGTGACTCAGCACACGGCTTCGGCAGAATGACAGACGCTTGAGGAGTAACTGTAAAGGTATCAGTATTAATGTCCCCCTGGTGACTATCGCTATTCCAATCTGTGCTATTTTAACTTCAGTTAAGATAGAGGCATATCTGAGAGGATTAGAAATGGCCACAAAACGATCAAAAGCCATGGCCAATAGAACTGAAGATTCCATGACAGTGAAAAGATGAATAAAAAACATCTGTGACAAGCAGGCATTAAAGCTGATCTCCCTGGCATTGAACCAGAATATGCCCAACATGGTGACCAGAGTGGATATGGACAAGAAGAGGTCAGTGGTGGATAACATGGACAGGAAATAATACATAGGTTCATGGAGGCTCGGCTGTGTGACAATGGCAAAGAGAATCAAGCTGTTTCCTGAAAGAGCAGTTAGATAGAGAAAGCAGAAGGGAATGGAGATCCAGCTGTGAAATTCCTCCAGCCCAGGAACACCAGTCAGCAGGAAAATGATGGAAGTGGATGATGTGGTGTTCTGGAAACTTGACATGTTGAGTTCAAACTGCAGAATCTTAAGTTGAGTGTCCATCAATTATAAACTCTTTTCACTTATTTTGTATTCAACATGAATGTAATTATTTCACAGGCAAACATTTACAAAATTTAATGTCTATATTAATTAAAGGGTTCAGATAAATGGTTGAGATCACCTCAAACAAAGGAAAAGAAAATAAGATGAATAATGACATGATGATGCAAAATTGGCACATGAACACATGGAGCACATGAACACATGGAGCAGTGGCCCACTTACGTAAGTTCACAGGTCTGCAAAGTGATGTGACTGGCATTTAATTTCATCACTTCCGGAATTCATATGGTAGAGTCAATAAATATTTGTGGAAATGTGTCAAAGAGTTTAATGAATTGTTAAATAATTAGGAAATGTTATATGTAGCCATTCTTATACAGTAAATGAATTATACCTTTAGGAGGCCCCAAAAGATTCTTTAAAGTATGAACAATCAAGACAATTACAAACCAAATTATTTGAGTACATGGATCTATAATGTGAGGATTATAAGAATTTGATGTAATTAATTTTTATGCTACATGCCAAGTCAGTGTTTCAAAATTGAATATGCTAGACTTGGATAAGGTTCAAATATAGGCTAATGTATGATCGACTAAGTTACCACAGGACAAGTTACTAAACTGTGTACCGGAATTTCTCTATATCTAAAATAACAATAATATACATGTCCCATAAGATTGCTCTAAGGGATTAAAGAATGTGGAAAACTTGGCCAAGTACCTCACTGTGGTAAAAGCTTACAAATTTTAGGTATTATCGCTTTTAAAAAAAATAAATTAGCAAATATTTCACCTCTCTCTTTTCCCTACTTCTTCCTACCCATCCTCACCACCCATTTCTCCCATTGTCTAGTCACTGACAAAGAAACCCGGGAATTATTTAGGTCTGACTTAGGTAATACATACTAGTTAATATCTTTTTCATGTGGCTCCTTCTTCCTCCACAGCTATAATTTTCTCAACCTTTTTTCACCCTTTTCTGATTTAGAAGAAGTCTTGCTGCTTTGCAGAGATGACCCTACCTCCTAGCATCTCAGTCAAGTTTGGACATTAGTTTAACATTAAATCACTGAGCAGGCTGTGCACCAGGCTATAGGGATGCAGAACCCAATTTGATATGACAAGTGTTTGCAGAGACACTTAGGGAAGGGTAGGATACGTAGGAAGACAGACTTACAAACAAACAAACAAATAAAATGTGGTGTATACAATAATGGGTCTGTGTTGAAAATACAAAGGTTATATATATCGGAAAATTGTGTAGGTCAAGAAACACTTCCCTTGAGAATATGAAGATCATTTGTGCAGGGTTGATAGGTGAAAATAACAATGAAAAAAAATTCTAAGCATGTCTATTAACTAGTATATGCGGGATGCATTTAAATGGTAAATGAGGCTGAGGCTGATGTTGGCTGTAGATAGTGTCGGTAGCATCTTAGACAATGGTTTTTAAATATGGTGCAAGAAACCACGAAACTCACAGCTGCAAAGGCCTGCTGAAAAATTGTTCTAAGCAGAAATAAGTATGTCCTATAAATGAAAGGAGCCTCATCAGTTAGAATATGTCCTCAGAATACAGTTTTCAGGAAAGAGCTTTCCACTATTTTCCTGAGAGCTTTGTGCAGTTAATAAAATCTCCCTAATTTTTAAGAAATCAATGTGCACACAAAGACTGGTATTTTCCCTGAATGCAGTCATTTTACTTACAAAGTATGGAGAGTGGTTCTTTCTTGCCTGTTTGCCAGGAAGGGGCTGAGGATCTGGGGAGAGTTACCATTCAGGGGCTGGCAGCTTATTTAAGGAGCCATGACTCAAGCTGTTTGAAATCTACTAATCAGGAAACTCTGAGTGAGCTTTTTATGGTCCCCAGAGTATGAAGCTTCCCAAGGACTCATTTTGCCCCTGGTCTCCCTCCCGCTATGCCTCATTACATTTACTTTCATCATTTCCATGAAGGGCCCAGTATTATGGTTCCTTGACTTTGTGTCCTAGTAAAATTTTTTCACGAGTAAACTTGTGTGCCCAGTGATGGAAGACAAGATTAAGAATCTGTGGTAGGGGCCTCCTGGTAGCACAAGGAGTTAAGATGCAGCCTATGAAGCTATCCGCAGCCACTGCAGCACGAGTTCCATCCCCCGCCAGGGAGCTACCCACATGGTGCAGCAGACCTCTTCTGTCTCACCCGCTGCTCCCCTCAGCAGTGTACTTTGGTCTATCTGCCTGTTCTGTTCCCTGCTTTGTCTCTGGAGAATCCTCTCACCCCCCACACCTCTGGCTTGTACCTTAGTTCTTGTATGCATAAATAAATAAATCTTAAAAAAAAAAAGAATCTGTGGTATATTCACACTATGAATACTATTCACATCAAGGAAAGGTGAAATGCTGACTTTTACAGCAAATGGAAGGAGTTTGAGGAATGATGGGAAGTAAAGGAAATCAGAATGGCAAAGACAAATACTGAACATTTACATAGTGGACAAGTTGATCAGGTAAAATACTTACAAAAACTATCATACATTAATAAATGAAGTAAGATTTCTGAGGTTAAGAGGAAAGGAAGGTAGGAAGGGTAAAGGGATATAAAGGATGGTGATATGGAGAAAAAATTAATAGAAGAAAAAGTAAATTTGTGAGTAAAAACTCCAAAACAAAATACCTCCTAAATGTATGAGGTCACTCTCAGTCCCCACATCACCCCCACATCCAGCCTCCAACATCATTTGGGTGACTTCTGCATAGTTTTAAGAAATCTCTGTATTTATGTAAAAAAGTCATTAATTCTTTCATAAAATGCATTACATGTCTATCCTATCATATCCTAGAATTTTGCCTGGGTAATACAGAAAGAAAACAGTTACTTCCATCCAAATGCTCAAAACCCAGTGAAAAAACAGATGGAAAACTTAGTGATCAAAATAAGATGCATTTATGATGAGAACATAGAAGAACATGTATTTATTTTGCAGGAGGATCTGCAACAGGGGATGCAGGAGAGCAGAGCACAGGAAAGACAGCAGTGAGGAATAATACATTCATCATACCTGGAACTCTGCGTCCAAGTGGAGGAGCAAGGGGGAAATGAAACTAAACAAGACAGGATCCATGTCATTCAAGACCTAGTAAGCACCCTAAAGCATTTGAACCAAAATAACATAATAGAAAGCACTCCGTATGGAATTTAATCTCTCTCAGTGAAATATCAACCTGAATGACAATCTTACATTTTTCCTCTAAGTCACACTCTTTCAGTTATATGGAAATATCTATTTTGGGTATGTTCTCAAACAGAACCTCAATGAGCTCATATGTTCTCAAAAGAACATTGCATCACTTGTTCTTCCCAATTCTATTACAGGTGAACCAAAATATTATTTTCAGCATTGACTTCACACCATTTCATATGGCTTATAAAAAATTTATACTGTTTAGAAATAAAATTTCAAGCATTATTTCATATGGTTTATAAATAAAAACAAAATCTGTGAAAAGGTATAGCCCCCAGATGTTGAATTCCAGAAAAATATAGCTGGTTGAAAAGTAAAAAGTATTGCCCTTAAGTTAAAAGGAAAGCAAAAACTTTACTTAGACAGTTTTCTGTGAATTGTATCACTTTATAAAGAAGGGAAAGGAATATAATCACAAATAGATTGCATGTATATATATATATGACTATACTATGTAAAATTATGTGTAATTGAAACTTCATGAGTTACTTGTTATTGAAGCATAAAGGAAAGTTGAAACTTTCATGAGAACATTCTTTAGTACATTTATTTTAAGACACCCTAAAATATATAGTTGCTATACCTTCAAATTTCTCCATTTACAAAATTTTACCGAGCATCCATGAAATGAGTTACTTATACTTATGCATTTATTGCTTAGATTTGAATGTATTTTATATATCTCCTCTGTTAAATAGTAAATTTCTAGATTCTAATTTTTTTCATGAGGCTAGGAGTTTCCTAAGTTGACGATTTCCTCCTTTATTTTATGGTCTTCCTGGGAAACAAAAGGATTACCATCTATACTCTTCTTAGTATCTGAGGCAAAAATATTAGTATTTGTGCACAGTATCATTCATAAGAAACAACTGGTTAAATTATTTCAATTTAGATTAATTTAGTCAGATTGTTACTCTTCAGAATAGAGACTGTATCTTCATTGCTCACCCTCCACTCCCAGTGCTTCCTACTGTTTAACAAAATGAACATTCTCAAAAAAGTTAGAAAAATATCTTCTAAATTATGTAAAAATAAAATTTTAAATGTAAGCTTATGTTAAGTCGCTATTATTATATAGCTATTATGCTTGTTCTCTCTTCAAGAGATATCAATTCCCAAAATATAGTGCCTATTTGTAAAACGTTTCGAATCAGTCAGGGAAGAAAGATATGATTGTTTACAAAACAAAAATGTATATTAAAGGTATGTGGGAGAAGGATAAAAGTAACATCAGAAAAGAAAAAGACAATGGGCAGGTTATTCATGGGACTGTGGGATGCCATTCAGAAGTGAAGACCTCGTAGAAGAGCATCACCCCAACATTTGTGACAACATACAGGTTGCTTGTTAAAGTGCAAATCCTTGCACCCCATCTGATGAGTTTCTACTAAAGTTCTAGGGTGGAGTTGAGGAATCTGCACTTTAAAAAGTATCAAGTGCTTCTGGTGTTCCACTGCTCAATCTCACAGAGAACATGATGGCTACAAATGGAAGTGGATGTCCTATCATAAGTGCATCCAGTGGGTGGTGTTGTGAAGACCCATAGGAATGAAGATCACACGGAAGATGAAGAATCAAAAAGTTGCTATGATTTTAGGTAAATGTCAAATGGAAATTATTTTGTTAACTGAATTAAAAAAAAGCAAAAAACTTCATTATTGAGCATTTTTAAGTCATAGGAAAATAAAAAGAAAATATAAACAGACCAATGTCCTTCTATCAAAAGATAAGC